CCCAAACTGACAGATATTCCATACCATAGGACATCATGCTCAGTATATAAAACACGAGGAAGCAGGAGGAAGGGGGAACATCTGGAGTGATGGTGTTTGTCTTCCCAAGAAACCATTATGTGTGATGGGCCCTGCTCTCCTGGAGATGGCTGAACACCTCCTGTCTTTGGGAAGCAGTGAATTAATTCCTTGTTTTGCTTTGCTTTACTTGTGTGTGCATCTTCTGCTTTCTCTATCAAACTGTCTTCACGAGGAAGCAGGAGGAAGGGGGAACATCTGGAGTGATGGTGTTTGTCTTCCCAAGAAACCATTATGTGTGATGGGCCCTGCTCTCCTGGAGATGGCTGAACACCTCCTGTCTTTGGGAAGCAGTGAATTAATTCCTTGTTTTGCTTTGCTTTACTTGTGTGTGCATCTTCTGCTTTCTCTATCAAACTGTCTTTATCTCAACCCATGAGTTTTTTTTCTAGCTTTTACCCTTCTGATTCTCTCCCCCATCCTGCTGGTGGGGAGTGAGCAAGAGGCTGTGTGGTGTTTGGTGGCTGCCTGGGGTTAAACCATGACAAGATGTGAGCAAAAATAAGTAGGTATCTCTGACACAGAAACTTCACATATATTCTAAAGATATGACAGATATGTTAAGAGCACATATGCTCTAACAGAGCACTGTGCACTTTCTGTGAAAGGACAGTGCTAATCAATATGCAGAATTTTTAAAAAGAATTTCAATGTAATGGTTAATAAAGAATATAATGAGATTTCACAAGGTTACATGAGTAAGAAAGCTCAAGCTACTAAGTCATAATGAAGGTCTGTATAACTCACCCTGCTAAATCATTTAGTTCAATTTGACAATCACAGAAGAATAAAGTACTGTCGTGTTCTAGTTTTGATGTAAATATTTTTCTGGATGTGCATCTCACTTACTTCAGCTATCATCACACAAGTACTAAAATTACAGGGTAAATCATGTGCTGCACGTGAGACTGTAGAGAATATGTGCCCAGGCTTCCCTCTGGCTGGTTAGACATGGGGACACAGGCCTTGAGTCTGTTGGGCTGCTGGATTTGGCTACAGGATCCTAACAGTAATCTCACAGTAGAAAGTAGTAAGAGACTTAACCACAGAACTATTTGTATTTTCAAATTTCTATTGAGATCAACAATTCTCTCTAAGAACACGAAGGTATATAAAGCCAACACAAAATTTCAGAAGAATCAAGTATTTCAGAGACAGCTGTCTCTCACAGAAATCAGCTTTGCAAAGTTTTGAATTATTTCACAGTGTCTCCCAGCAAACCCCAAAATTTGCAAATCACATTTAGTGTTCACCTGACAAATACTTGCTAATAAGGTCCTGCAGAACAGCCAGTATTTATTGTCCTAAAATAAACTTACATTTAATAAACATGCACTTACCATCAGCAGTATGAAGGAGTTTGTGGCTCTTCAAAGTGCCTTTTGATTTGAATTTTTTCCCACACATATCACAAAGGTGTGTTTTCTCAGTGCTGTGACGATTCATGTGAGCTTTCAAGTTACTCTTGCTGCGAGTGGCATACTCACAGAGAGAACATTTGAAGGGTTTGACACCTAAACATGAAAAAATATACCATGAAACAAACAGGCCGTACCTTTTGATGAGAGGGTGGACATTTGCTTGGAAGAAATTTCAGATCATGTGAGCAATATGGACAGTAAGGTCAACATTTCAAAATTTGGATATCTACACTTAACAAATTTCATCTATAGCTTCTGTATAAATGATACCAAGCTCTCGACAGCATCTCTTAACCTGCTAAGAAAAAATTTGATTTTAGAATCAAATATTGCCCTACTGAAGTCAGGTACTGAGTTTAGCCAAGCAAACACTAATATTTGGGCCTTGGTGTGTCTATCCTTCACTTAGAAGTAGTATTCACACTGCCTGAATCGATGCCTAGCTGGTATATAGCTCCCTCTAAAAGTCTTCAGATAACTACCATTCTCTGTTGATTCCAATAAACAATGAAGAAAACTGTTTTAAGGAGGATTGTTTCATTAGGCACTTAATATGCAAGCAGAAGTTAAATGTGCAGAGCTGTGTTTTGTTGTTAATTCATAACAGATTTGCTAATGGCTCATGTAGTATTATCCTCCATCCCTTCCCCCCTGATAAGATGCAAGAACTCACAATTTCACTTCTCTAAAACTGTCCAAAGAATATAGAGAGACAGAGTATGTCTTCTAACAGAAGGTCTATAAGAACAAAGTAAATCCTTCAAAGAAAAGTTGAATAAATCTGAACTGGCAGAGTAGTTCAATAGTTTCATGAGGCTCTGGCAGTTTTAGATTGCTACTTGTGACCTTAAAACTAGATTTATGAGCATGAGGAATTATAGTCTGCTTCAAGCAGACTTGATTGCACACTTTGATGGGGAATAAATTTGTTCACCTCTTTCTCCTGCTAGTTAGATGAGATGGGTTCCAAGTGCTCTTGGCAAAACAAAAAAATCTGTATCTATGGAATACACATGGAATTGCTCTAAGCATTACCTAAACTCCTTAATGGAGAAAAGGCCACTGGAGAGGAACACTGCTACAGTACACAGGCAGGTCAGCTCACAGACAGAGCATTCAAACAAATATGCTGTAATAGTACAAATGTCTGAACTACCCACATGGGAAAAAACACTTGGGAACGAAGATAGTGGTTTAAGAGTACCAAATCCCATTATCCCCTTTATGCAGAGGGATGACTAAAGAATCCAAAACAATGCTCAAACACCACAGGTAATTTGCTGCATGGATTATTAACTGACTAAAGAGCACCTAAAGAGGTTTTCCACCTATTATAAACATAGATAGACTGGGTAGACACGATTTCACCGGGCAGAGATTTTAAGTTCAAGGGATTTTTAACCTATACATTGCCATATTACTGGAATTTCTACCTAAAAAGTCATAGATAGATATGAACAACATTACGATGTTTTTGACCACTGACTGTGCCCATGGCAGCAAGCCTCTGCATGATTTAATTAAAACACTCACAGAATTTATAGGCATACATCAAAGCAACTGGATTTCAATTGTTTTATTAACAGATTTCCAGACCAAGTATTTTTGGACAAATGTGAAAGGAGAAGAAGTTATTAATGAGAAGATACAGAAAATTACTGAGCATGTATTTCATTCACTCCTCATTACTCACATAGAATACTTCATAGATGTTTATGACTGAGGTTTTGGGAAAAAAATTTTATCAGAATCTTATTAGTTTTACAAAACATTTAAGCTGTCTATTCATGGTATGAATGTGCAGTTCCATATGTGATCCAGAATCCATTAAACTAATTAATTAACCACTGATGTAGCTTATTCAGATATAAAAATAAATTTGAATTCTTTTTTTATGCCAACAAAGCTTCAGTAGAATATGACACTCCTTATTTGTCCAAAAGCTTAAACCCAGAGTTTTACCTTCATGAGCCCAGATGTGACGTTGAAGGTCTGACCCATTCTTCATAAAATAAAAATCACAGTAGGGACATTTCACAGCTCGTTTTCCAATAAGTCCTTTCAGCTGAACTCTTCTGCCAAGAATCTCAGAAATAGTAGTCATTGAAACCTCTGAGAGAAATGCAAAAGGTAGTAAGAACCAGACAGACATGAGGGAATTTGTTCCATAAGCAATACTGAAAAGCTAGATCCTGATTCACTCTTTTTAAATGCTCTACCTCTACTGCCACTCAAAACTGACTTGAGCAAAGAGCACAAGGACCTTTTTGCCTTTAGGCCTTCTAGGATGTCCTGTCCTTTCTCTCCTGCTCTGTGTATTCACTGTTCTTACTGCCTGTTTAAAAAGAAAGAAAAAAAATGTAAATATAAAAAAAAATTTGGTCATGCCACTGGCTTAGAAATCATTTCCCAACTATGAACTTTTCCCATAAGCTAATTTGGTTCTTTTCACTATTTTCAAAAGCTTTATTCAAGATTTCACCCCAGATTTCCTGATGACAAGGACAATTCTCTTTGGCCACAGCTATAATGATCAGAATGCTGATAATCAGACACTTGAAAGGAAAAAACAGACTTATGGAAAAAATGTGATTTGAAGGGACCTCTAGGGTCTACCTGCTCCAAGTAGGGTCAACTTTAGAGTTCCAACTTCAAAGTTACATCAAGTTCCTCATGGTCATATCCAGTCCTGTTCTGAATATATCCAAGGATACAGATTCTACAGCCTCTCTTCTCCCATTCCAGTGTTTAACTACCCTTACAGTCAAAATTATTTTCCTAATTCTAATTACAATCTCCTTGCTTCAACTCATTGTACAGCTCCAAGAGGATTCTGGCTCAGTCTTTTTAATTAGACTGCTGAAGACAGCAATTAAGATTCCTCTCCTGGCCTTTGCCTATTCAGGCTAAACACACTCAGCTCTAAGTTTTTCCTTTATATGATCTAATGTTTTGGTTGTCACATTGAAAAAGCTCAAAATAATGAAGTTTAAATTAAAATGCCCCAAACATGCATAATGAAAACATTGCCAAATGCTTTTAAAAAATAAATCAAATTACTCAATGCATGTCAGATGTATAAAATGCTCTCTCTTGACTTAATGAAAGTACAGCACTCATGTAACCTAAAGGCTAAGACATGAAAGCTGGTGACTTATTATGCCCAAATCTTATACATCTAGAAGTTACAATCTAAACTTGGATTTTTACCAAAAAGGAGCTGTCATACTAAGTCTCCTGATGATCAGTCCCAGAATGGAATCAAAAATCCTGACTGAACTCATATGCACAAGGAAAGCAACCTCAAAAGGGAACTATAAAAGTCCATGAACTGAGCAGAGATAAGTTCTGAAGTACCCAAAAAAGAAAAATACAGACACAAGTCTGAACCCTTGTCTACCTTCCATGGCTTAGATCCTTCATTCATGTCTGCAGGCTAGGATGTCTGCTCAGTGGGGATCTATGGAAGCTGCTGCCTCTCATGGCTCAGAACTATTAAGAGATATCATATTAAATCAGATAGTGGATGAAAGGCAGAGAATTCTGAGAGCTGGGACCAGAATACAAGACTCCTCCTTCACTGCTGAGTATTCAAATCACTGGGCAATAAAGTCAAGCTCTCTTATCTCTCTGGTTTGAAATACTGCTCAGCCAAAGTCTACAGAGATTTTTGTCTCCCTGCCTTCCTGGGACCAAAATTCCACTCGTCTGCAGATGTAGCAGAGGCAGGAGAGCTGTTTGACTTCACACTTTCCACTTGAAGAAGTAGAAGAGACAAAAGAGGGGTCATACTGAATCACACTAAGAAAGGAAGAGGAGGGAAGTGCTAGAAATAGCATTTTAATGATAAATATGAAAGGGTTTCAGTTTAAATTAATTTTTGATATGTCATTTTAAAATTCAATTCCTTCTAACAGTATCCATTTTTCCTTTCATCTTTGCTCTTTTTCATTTACATTTTTAAGAACAATTGCACCCATTCCACTGCAGGATTTAATAGCTTATACTATCAGACCCCTCACATTTATTTGGCTTGTAATTAAGCATGTACAAATAACAGATTTCCTCCTGACTGCAAGGAGAGAACGCACAGCAAAAAAGATTTTTGCATTAATTATCCCCCAAATATTAAACCAGGGTTGTTGCATAACTACTGCATAGGCATATCTCAGATGTAGCATTTCTTTAGTACCATGGAGATATATCTAATAAATCTGGTGTTTTGCCTTTAAGCTCTATTCGCCTGTAATACATGTATGAAAAATGAGGACACGAAATAATAGGCTGTGCAGATTTTGGGGTTTTTTAATCTTACCTCTATTATAACACAGAGTTTAAAAGAACCCACTTGGATCAAAAAATTTAAGCTATACTTTGAGAGAGATTCAGATACCAAATGAATTGTTAAAAATTATAAATGCATGAGTTTAGGATTTAGGGCTTCACAGTTAACTGGTATTTCTGGACCCCAGACACAGCATACACTGATAATTCAGCAGTCAGTGTCAGACCAGTGTCAGATGCAAGATGAACTGTAAGGACACAACACATAACGTCCTTCTAGTTCTCAGATTTAGGGAGGTCTCCTATGCTCCCTGGCTGAGGCAGCACAAAAGCTTTATAGGCACATCTCTTGAGATTCAATTTTCATGCTTAGTGGTGATACAGCTCCTGACTACAGTACAGCTCAGAGGCCTTTTCTCATCTGAATTTGCTGCACCAGACATGTCCGTGGAGGTATGACAAGCCCTCCAACCACACTGCTGTGGAGTGGTCTGCAAATAGTGAGGTTTAGTAACTAAAGAGCTAAAGTGGGAGTTAGTCTGAAATTAAAGTGAAGGGAATTGTTTAAAACACGGGTCTAGCACTATCTAGTGGCAGTAAGAAGAGATGAAACTACTGCTTTGCCTGTTATGTTGTACTTCTGACAAAGACAGTAACAGCTGCATTCTTTTAATTGGATTTTTTCTTCCCCAAACTCAGTTTGAGCACGGCCAGTATTTTCCTTCTTAATATCAAATTTTGTCAGGTGATAAGCAACACTGTAGATGAGTTAATTAAACTGTGATACAACGGATTCACCTCTCCTTCCTCCATGGCAGCAGTGGGTCTTTCTATCCAACAAAACACAAATACTAAGGAGGAAATCAGGGGCACACCAACTTGGCTCTGTTGAGTTCACATTGGTCAGATTTAAATCAGACCCTGCACCAGCACTTTGGGATTGAATTCCCAAGATCCAAGCATTGTTTACTCAGGCATGGCACATGGACTTAGCACCTTCAGTTTATGTTGTACTTAGGCTGATAAATCAGGGCACTGGAATGCAAGGTATAAACATAGTTTGGATGGGCTGCAGTGCTTAGCTGGATCCAACCAGGCTTGCCAGCTCCAGCTTAATACTGGCCATCCTACATCCCAGCTGGTTCTAGCAAGAGCCCTGTTGCAGACTTCAGCTGTCCCTGGAGACAGAGCCCAACCCCACAGCACCTGAGCAAACTGTCTGTGTGCTCAGGTACTGTCCATCAGCTCAGGGACTCTGCATTCACACCCATCACCTGCAGACAAACAATGTGCACTAAATACATCCCTGTCAGTTCATGCAAGGCCAACGGAAATTTTCCATCTCCTGGGCTGTTACAGGATGTCTCTATGCCTGATTTCAACCTTCCCAATGCATAATTTGAATTCACCTAGGTCCTCTTTTGGAAATGAGTTCTTTGCCAGATGAAGAAAGATTTCTTATCACGACTACCTGACATACTCCACAACACACACTCTTGAACAGTAACATTTTTCACGTTAAATTCTACCATCTGCAAATCCAACACAATTCTTCCTTTAAACCAGTTAAATTAGACATACTCTTCTCTTTCTTAGGAATGTAATGACATTGCACTGCTCACTTTAAAACCTTCATCCATTTATTGTGATAGACTGAGAAATTTTCCTTGATTTTTTTCTTACCAGGATGATTTGTCTTGATGTGAGATTTTATAAGTCGATCTTCAGAAAATGACTTCTCACACACAGGACAGGAATAACTCTTCTTATCCTTAAGTGAGAAAGAAAGAGATTGCATTATCATTCCACTGGTATAATCACTATAGTCATTATTCAGTAATACATAGTTCTCAACAAAGTTATAATTGAAGGTTCAGTTTATAAGGAAAAAAATGAAGGTATTTATAGTGAAATAAGTGAAGGAGAAATATTAAAGTACTCTAAGCACATCATTAATCCTCATGAATGAAGGGCTCCAAGCTACAGCACACAAGAATATGCACAATAAATGTAAGCATAATATTGTGACTGACTCTGTAGAGAACCAAGAGTCGAAAGATCAAGCCACATAACAGAAGAAAATGTATTTGATATAAGCTGCAATATTCAGGGTTTGTTCTTTTCTTTTTCACAAGTCCACCCTTCTGAAACCTAAGGTTCAGATCTAATTATTCCAAAGACATCCACCAATATGTGGATTATAAAATGGCCAGAAATTGAGCAGCAGAGTTAACAATGACAGATGCCATTACTTATTCAGTGTCTACACTTCTAACTACTTTATAAATATTCAGCATTTTATGTACTACCGATAAAGTCTATTCTACTATTTTGATTTAAAAACTTACAGACTACTCTGGATTTTCTCAGCATCACTGATCTTATAACAGATTTCACATCAAGTTCAACAGAAGAGTTTCAACACAATTTATTCCTCTATGCAATTTTACTCTAAGTGCAATTTTCATGTTTTAACAAATGCATCTAAACCCACATAAAAATATAGGACTTCTCTCTATTCATTGATAAATTACCCAAATTAAATTCCCCCACCACAGCTTCAGCTCCTCAGAGTGCCCTTGTCACAGGTGATGACGGAAGCACTTTGAAGGACTTAGGCTGAAGTTCTAGTAATACCTTAATCACATTCTCAGCACGTAAGTTTTCCTCTGGTAAGAATAAAAGTTATTTATCCTATGCCTTATTGGAGTTCCTGCCTTTTAAATGTCTTTGACGGTTTTCTTGAAGGACACAAACAGAAGCAAAGTATGAAGAGAGCTGGATCTACCTTTGTTTGAGACCAGCTGCACAGTCCAATCAGCTATTTAAATTTCAAAGTCACTTCTACGCTTCCTGAGATTTGCTTAATACAAGTATCAACCAATTTGAGAAAATATAAGAAACTTAAAATAATTCCAAAATAAAGTCAGCCTTTGGACTGAAAGTACTGTTCACATTCCACAAATCAGGAGTTTAATTAGGTCCATGAATATTCATAAACCTAGTGGGAAAAAAATTAGTCTAATGCTACCACAAATTTTCCTGTTTATAGTGTTTTGCTATAAAATAAGGCCACTTGCATAGGAATCACAATGCATTTCTCTTTATATATATGAACTAAATTGTGCTAAGAAAGCATTAGCTGTATTGCATTACCAATCTATAGCTCCCTGAAGAAAATTTTATTTCTCTAGGGCATGTGTGTCGAGATGATTCAAGAGGTAGGTCTATTACAAGCCTCTGTATACGTAGGGAGCTGGGGCTGTTCAGCCTGGAGAAAAGGAGGCTCAGAGAAGACCTTATTGCTCTCTACAACTACCTGAAAGGAGCTTGCAGCCAGCTGAGGGTCACTTCTTCTCCCAAGTAACAAGCAATAGGACCAGAAGAAATGGCCTCAAGTTGTGCCAGGGGAGGTTTAGATCAGATATGAGGAAAACCTTCACCGAAAGGGAGGTCAAGCATTGGAACAGGCTGCCCAGGGCAGTGGTCGAGTTACCATTCATGGAAAATGTGAATTCCTCAAGAATTCTGTGCATGTGGCACTTGGGGACACAGTTTAGGGGTGAACACTGTGGCGCTGGGTTAATAGTTGGACTTTGAGATCTTTTCCAACCTAAATGGTTCTGTGATTCAAAGCAACAGACCACTACGAGGCTTATTTAATTAATCAAATAAATATGTCCTACGCTGCAAAACACCAGAAAGAGCAGCAGTTCTTCTACTGCACTCATCAATAAAGAGACATTCTGATGGCACAAATATCTTCTCTTATGAACATACATATATTACATGATCTGGATGGCAATTCTGCCACTAATTTCACAAGAGACTGTGTGAACTCCTGTTATCAACTTCAGTAATTGGGTAAAATTAAGACCACGGCCGTAATAAAAAAGGTGTTTAGGCCTAAATTAGACAATTATGCTATAGAAATCAACAATTCATTCCCTTCCTTTTAGCAGCAGAAGTGACATAATTCCATGAACAGGAAGTAATACACAGTTCTACTAAATACTGGTACTCCCAGAGCATTTCCAGGAAAAGTTTCCACAACTCAATTAACACAACATTTGATTGTCTAATTCTGTAAGAGGACTAGAGAGCCAAAGTCTGCTCCTGTCATCTACTCGGACCAACAGAAATTTAATTTCTAACATTCGTGGGATCAAAATTAGGCCCCTGAGTTACACTTTGAGGAGTGAAGACATACAGAAATCTTCACCACAGTTGTCATGGTGTTCAAATCAAAATTTTCCCAAAAGATTCCTGAATTAAGCTAATGTCCTATTAAAATGCAACCCGGCCAAAATGATCTGATGTACCTAGGAGGTGGCTATGCACACAAGTGAAGAAGGCTATAGAAAAATGTGCAAATGGTTAGAAAACTTATGAAGTCTGGCAAGCAGCAGAAGTCACAGCTCACAAGATGACAAACACCAGCACACAGTACTGCTTAGGCTTTTTTTTTTGTGTGCCATAACCACTAGTAAAAGTGAATGGGTAGCTGACATTCATTTTGGAAGTGAGGACCAAGAGCAAAAGCTATTTTCCAACTGAGTGCTCAATCATTAGACCATAGATGCTTTTGTTAATTCCTTCTCTTTCCAGGACCTTGCATTCTTGACTATACAGTGGCACTGCTCCAAAAGCAAAGGTAACACAGCCAGACCACTGAAAATTAATGCTCCTCAGGAAGGGGAAATAAGCAATCAGAGCTCAAGTTCCTCACTTCCTACCGACAGCTACACTATTACACAAAAGGTCAGCAGCAGAATGGAATTTCTAAGCATCATTCCAAAGACAAGAATCATTTACATCCCAAAATGTGCATGAAAACCTAATAACAAGTGGCAGTTCTGGTTCTGAACTACAGTTTTATAGAGGTGCTCACCTTGCAGTACCAATTACACATACAGACTTACCATATTTTCAGACAAACCTCTCTGTGGTGTTTATCTGCTCAGTAGAGTGAGTATTGTAAAAACCACTGGGAGTTGTAAACAAACTCTGATACCTACTTCAGCACTGTTTAGTCCCACTTGATCCCTAATGTCACCATGAACTCATTCATAACTGTAAATTAATTTTAAACTGCCCAGCCCTTTTCTAGGTACCATGGCACTGAAGTGATTGGCACATGTCATGGTTTGAACTCCTGAAGAGCTCAATATATGCCAATAAATGTCAAAAACCACTACACAAACCTTAGGGGGAAAAGATGAGTGCTGAAAATCAGAGCATATATGCAACATTTTGGTTTCGAATCAAGCCAAACCTCAATTCCCAGGGTTCCAAAGTAAAAACCTTCTCTGTTACAACATGCATAGCAAATACAGAGGCAAGAGGCAGCACATACACACTCCCCATCATCATCTGCCAGGGAATAAACAATCCCAAAATCAGTGTAAGACTCTGATGATGCATAGAGTAAGATGGATGGCCATACAGTGAGCGACCAGGATGAGGGGTAAGCTGCTTTTCAATACCCATCATTTATCCTCCTCACCAAATAATGCAGGGATCCAGTTCAAGTGCAGCCAGCAACAAGGTAATGAAGGATACACATCCACACAAGGAACTGAACTGAGATTTTGATATCTTCTACCTCCAGGAAAGCTTTAATTTTAATATTTATGAAGGATTGATTTTTGCAAACTAAAATTATTATTCAAGTAGATTTCCACATTTAACTATGCATAGTTGGTTAATGTACATTTTGGAATGAGTGGTGCTGTTCAGTGAGAAATGCCTGAAGTAAACGTACCAAGCAGTGGGTGCAGAGGTCAATATGAGAACTGCCAAATTTAGTTACTGAGTGAATTCTAATATATGAATTTTTCAATCTGTTTAAATACTCAAATATATTTGACAGTAAGCATCAGTAAGCATGCTTCTGAAAGACCTTGCTCTCACACTGGTTTTAATTAGGAAATGCATTATCTCAGTTCTATTTAGTATCATGAAAATGATCCTCCTGGAGGGAGCTCTTGGACCTTCATCACAGTTGAAAAAGAGGGACTTATGTAAGGATATAGGAGAGCTAATTGAAGGCTCTTTTTTCTCAAGTGTTCTTAGACACCATTTACACAGATCTTTACCATCAGATGGACATCATAAACATAATAAATTCAAAAACAGGCTAAATGAATGTCTATTATGTGAGCTCTCCACACATTTCATAACAAATTAAGATTCTGTTTAAAATAGCTATGGAAGTGGAGGGCACAAGGGGGGGAAAACATTTCCTTTTGTGTCATCTCTTGTTTTGTTTTTTAAAGCTCTCTTGAAGTAACTACTTAAGAAGAGTAGGGGGTGAAGTGTCCTGTTCCAAATGCCTTTAAAGTAACTTTTGAGACAGGGGAGATTCAAATTAGATAATAGGGAAAATGTTTTCAGTGTTCGGGTGGTTAGGCACTGGAATAGCTTACCCAGGGAGGAGGTAGAGTTTTTAAGTGTCTAAGAGGCATCTGGATCTGGTGCTGGAAGATATGGTTTAGGGTTTACGGGTTGCAGTGAACTGACAGGTTAATGGTTGGACTTGATGATCTTAGAGGTCCTTTCCAACCTTGATGATTCTATGATTCAGCTGTTGAAAGTACAGGCCAAGAGTCTACCTGCTGACTGCAGAGCTCAACCTGAAACCACTAGGCACTGCACATGAAAAGATTTTTAAGTAGCTATGCAGAAATTGTCCACATCTGGGGAAAAATTCACATGAATACTTAATTCGAGCATCACATTCACAGAATCATAGAATCAACCTGGTTGGAAGAGACCTCATGGATCACCAAGTCCAACCCTACTGTGGTTACTAGACCATGGCACTAAGTGCCACATCCAGTCTCAGCTTGAAAACCTCCAGGGACAGTGAATCCACCACCTCCCCAGGCAGCCCATTCCAATGTCTGATCACTCTCTCTGTAAAAAATCTCTTCCTCATATCCAAACTAACCTTCCCTTGGCAGAGTTTGAGTCTGTGCCCTCTTGTCCTACTGCTGGTTGCCTGGGAGAAGAGACCAACGCCCACCTGACTCCAACCTCCTTTCAGGAGGCTTTCAACCCCCTTTCAGTCTTTCCACTAGTAAAAAGTATTGCAACAACAATATCTATCACAGTACTTTAAGTGAGTTGTGATGTTGCTTTTTCATGAGATTAGGAGGAACTTGTCACATGGAGTGCATTCTATCACAGGTGCATAAGATTTATTTACAAGAAAATGCTAACAAAAACCATAATGTTGTGTAAAGAGTGAAGAAAGGCCCATCTGTGTGAATATTTCCTTGTCCATAAAGGACAGAAGAGTGAGTGCAGCAATTGAACAACTGGCATTTTCTGCTGGAATCAAAATAAAAATCAATTCAGGGGAAGTGCAAATCACCTTTTGCACCTATTTCACTGCATCAGTAATTCAAACCTCAAATTGCAAGTATGTAGTTCATGACAATGTTCTGACATTATCGGTCAAGAAAGTTTAATTTCAAATACCATGCTTGTCAAACATTTTTTGAGATCCTAAACTGTACTTTGTTCAATACCAGTACCCTCACATACAGACATGAGGTAATATGTGCCACCTAAGCACCTCTGAAGACTCCAATCAAAAGTGGACTAAATTCCTCATGCTGGGAGAGCAGGCACTTGCTAAACACCCTTTTCTAGATGTTGAGTTGGAACAGGAAGGAACTTAGCTGTGCTCATACACTGTGTCAGTGCATGCATATTGTAACCTCTCTGGGGATTCACAGGTCTAGAACACCCCAGACCAACTACAGCTTGCAAGCAGAAAGATTCCTGCCATGTGGTAGGAAAAGAAGTCCATGGTATGCAAACCTGTTCTGACAACAGCTTAAACCATTTGGGCCACTCAATGCAAAACAATTAAAACAGTAAGAACAAGCCTGGTAACACTGATGTAAGAAAATAATTGTTTTTCTTAATCTTCCAAGAAAAGCATATAAATATTTCACTTCTAAAAAAGCATCTTAACTAACAGTGACGAATAAAAATCTTATTCCTTAGTTTTAAATCATTTCTTATTCTGAATACCAGAACATATTGCTTGAAACATACTTTTGAAACCACTGCAAGAAGGGTTCATGTTTCCTGAAAAGACTGTTCATGTAATAATGTTGGATGAGAGCAAGATCACCAAGCAGTGTCTTGTACAACAAGGGCTTCCACTCAAAGTGCATGTGGAAGTAGACCAGACCTGTTTTTAGCATATGGCATTCAGAGCTCAAGGGCTTTCTGAACAAGACAGGAGCCTTTAAAATGTGATCTCTTCATCTTTGTAGCCACAAGAGACAATGGTAGATGTTCAAAGACATTGGCTGCAACTAGTTGCAGCTATTAGGAAAACAAAAATTCTTTTCAACAATTTAAACTTCATTTGTCTATAGCAATTAAGAGAGGAACACATTTTCATTTTACCACAGTCAACAGATGACTGTGCAGGAAGGGAATTCAGATGACTATGCAGGAAGGGAATTCAGGCTCAAGGAATGATGTAAATTAACAATAGTACCAGACCTTATTTTACTCCCTCAAAACCAAACAATACTGGGAAAACCAAAGGGAGAAAATGGATAGATATAGTCTACTGGAAACAACTATGAGAAGGACCCAATATCTAGTTGCCTTAACTCATATATTCCCTGTACAAAGCTACGCAGAGAGCAATCAGGTAACAATTCTCACCTATTCTTCAAATGCTGCCACACAATTCCAAACACTGCGATGACAACACTGAATTTAGACAAACACATCCTTTGGTTTGTTACTTACCAGGTCTGTGTGGACTTTAAGGTGTGCCTGGAGCTTGTATTTATCTGGGGTAGAGTAGTCACAATGTTCAGTGGGACATTTCAGCAAAATATTGCTGTGTTTCTGAATGACGTGACGCTTAAGGCAGTTTTTGGTGATGGAAGAATAATTGCACTGGGAGCAGTAATATAAATGTTCTCGAGTATGCGTACGAACATGCATGTCATAATGCACTTGGTACCAAAACAACTTGCCTGAAAATAAAATGAGACACGAAGAAAGCAATTTCTAAACAATTGTTGTTGAAAATTCCAATAGAACCGATTTTCTTTCAGGGCAAAACACACTGTTTGAATCCTGCCCCTTTCATCTTTAATGCAAACTTGTCTAAAGACCCTTTGCTACTGAATACATATTTACAAAACCCACTTTTGTCTAGAAAGATTATGTTTTATGTCCCAAAACAGCCTAACAAGGGCAACTTTAATACAAATCAATGATCTTTTTCCTAAAGAAAAATTGCTTTAAATCTGTTCTATACAAAGAATCTGAATGCAACTGTACACTAAAAGAGACTGTCAAAATATTTTTTGCTACTTCCTTTCATGTTACTCCTACCTAAAATCCTTTCTGACATAATGGTACCAAAACATGCAGAGCAATTCATTTAAGGTACAGTGTTATCGTGCTTCAAAAACTTGTTTTTATAGTCTTTGATTCCTTTCCCTTTTCAAGAATGAAGACTACAGCACAAATCCCAAATTGTTTCCTTTTCAGTTATGTAAACACAAAAATTTTCAGTTAGAACAAACAGGAATGGTGCATTATACCCACTTCAATAAATTCAAAAAGCCCCAATTACCATCAGAATAGTCTTGATCTGATACCATGTCATAAAAACATTTTCATCTCAAAGAACCTGGTTCAAAACAAGTCAAAAAATATGCCAGTGTATACCTATGTGTTGTACAGAATGTGTATTACCATACATCCCCTACATTATGGAAAAAATACTCTGAATTTTACACTAAGCTGATAATGAAGCTTAAGCAATAAAACATGGCCTGACTAACGCTGACCACAGGCCTCAATCTGCTGTGCTTGACTCCAGTGAAAGTCATGAGTTGTGGAGAGGTATGTGGATAAAAATCATCTAATTCTATCAAATTTGACATTAACAGAAAATTGAGCCTTGCAGGGCATTGCTTTGCTGTATTCTGCTAGTGTTTTGGGTTTTGCTTTTTTGAGATTTGACTCATTTCACATTATTTATACAGCAAAAAGTAAATTGCGCTTGACCCCAGAAGCCATACTGAACACCAAAATTAATCCTGCTGCAAAGATATGCAAATATATCAAACACTGTAAACAAGAGGAGCAGAAAAAAGATAGCTGACTATGTAACACTTAAAAAACCCCAACAAACAAATACAATTCTACTGCTCCTTACCACAATATTCACACTCTAGGTCTCCATAAACCTTCCTTATCCTCTCACACAACTCTGTGCTCATTTGTCTCTTCTGCAAACTATCCAAGATCTGCATGAAAGCAACAGCTTCAGTCCCACTGTCGGATGTCACTGTGTTGGAAGGGGCTGCCTGGGGGCTGGGGGCTGCACTGGCTTCAGGTGCTGGCAAAGGCTCTGTGGATTCTGCCAAGTTCTGAATTGGCAGATTGCTTGTTTCTGATTCACTGGAAGGAACAGACTGGATTCTCTCTTCAGAGACTGGAAGGTTCTCAGTCATTGCATTGTCCTGACTTGGATTTAAACTTTTGTCTTCAGAAAGTAAAAGATTTATTTCTTCACCCTGATCATTTACAGAGCTGCAGTGATTAACTTCCTCTTCATTTGAGGGAGAAACCTTCAAATCTTCAGGACCAGTAGTACCATTTTTCAGCAGAAAGCAATCTGCTGCTACACAGGGCTCAATGTTTGGGACTATGTCTGTTGTCTGACACAACGTCTCTGTTACATTCTTCACCAGAGGATTTTCAAATTCTAAGGAAAGGACTGCATCGATTTTTACGTCACCATTATGTTGACCATTATGGTTTACATCTGCGGCTGTTGATTCACCAGCAGATGGTTGTGCTGTGTTAACAGCACCAGTACCCGTGATAGTCAATTCATCTGCAGTCTGTGCTAGCTGATCACCAAGGGCTTCTGGCTGGATGTCACCTCCTGGCTCAAGCAGGCAGAAGCTTTGGTTGATAGAACTGTTAAAAACAGACTCCTCCTGCAGATCTGCATGCACATCTTTGATGTGAGCACGGAGCCTTACAGAGCTGACAAACTTCTTCAGGCACACAGAGCACACATACACAAAAGGGTGCTTTCGAACATGAAGCTCAAGGGCTTGGTATTTAGTAGCTCCATGACCACAAAGCTCACAAGCAAAGGGTCTTTCATCACCATGAACAAGCATGTGACGGTCTCGATCAAGCTCGTTTTTGAATTTGCGTTCACAGATGTGGCAGTCATAAAGAAGTTGCCTTTTGCCCTCTCGTGTCATCAAGCGAAGCTCATCAAAAACATCCTTCACTTTTTTATCTTCGAGGTCATGAGTTTCCTTGATATGCTTGATCAAATTTTTAACATCTGAGTACTTCTTTTTGCAGAAGCGACAATGCTGCTTAATTTTCTTATGAACTCTTTCAATATGGACTTTGAGATGGCCTTTGCTGAGACAAGTGAACGTACAATAATCGCAGCTGAACTTCTCCCCCGTGTGTTTGCGCAGATGAACGTTCAGGTTGGCTTTGATTGCACTGGCATAACTGCAGTATGAACACTTGTAAGGTTTCTCATTTGTATGAATCCTCAAATGTGCCTGGAGGGAGTGCTTAAATTTGAACACTTTGTTACAGTATTCACATGTAAAAATCTTCAGTTGAGTTGGACCCAACCTAAAACAAACCAAAATGAGTTATGTTTACAGTACTGAAACTTGGTCACATAACATGCCAAAATTTCCCTAGATATTCATAATGGACAGAAACATTTAATATTTTTAAAAAAATGTATTCTGCACAGGTTTTTAAATTACACAACGTATGCACAGATTATTTTCAGCTGCTCCTTTGTTTAAAAGGCTCAGAAAATATTTCAGTTTCATGAAAATGCATGGGGAAGCATTTAATTCATATTCTGCATGAACACAAATGTAAGTACTTCGAAATTACCTGCTTGATTTCATTGCCTGTTCATATGGGGTTTGCTGAATGGCATATTCCTGATATCCTTTTCGCTGTGATGGGTCTTGAACTGTTGTTTCTGGAGCTGTGGGTTCACTCTCCTGGGGAGTAGCCTCAACAGGAACAATTTTTGTGGCTCCTGTAAGCAAGAACCAAAAAAATGCTGAGTAAAAAGTCTCATACTAAAATGTGCATTGCCTATCATAAACAAGTGTAAACAAAACATCAAAGTCTGTAATCATTAGTTCAACTATTTTAGTTTCTGTTGTTAAACTCCTGTGTATAAAATGATGGATACACTTTAGAAGATATCAGTACTTACACCACAAATCTGCTTAAATAACATATTAGGAAGAGATTTTTTTATGGCAAGAGTGATCAGGCATTGGAATGTGCTGCCCAGGGAGGTGGTGGATTCACCATCCCTGGAGGTTTTCAAGACGAGACTGGATGTAGCACTTAGTGCCATGGTCCAGTAACCAAGGCAGGGTTGGACTGGATGATCTTGGAGGTCTTTTCCAACCTGGTTGATTCTATGATTCTTGTTCCTCCCTCTCCCACAAATGTCAGGATGTCCAGCCAGGTTGCATCTCCCAAACTGCACTGTGGTAGTCCAGTGAGACAGGAACCTGTCATGGAACCAAGTCTCCTGTGCTGTAATAGTGAGTTCAGTATAAAGGTGACAGAACAGACATTAGACACCAGACTGGTGTTCCCATACTTCAATACTTAAAATAGAAATAAATTCCTCTATATTTGGAATGACTCAGATAAAAGAAAATAGATCTTGAACTGCTTTATATGCATGGCCACCCTTTCCAGGCCTCCTATTCCTGAAGGTGAGACAAAGATCCTCATTAAATGCTCCACACTACTCTCCTCTGTGCCCTTCTGCCTTTCAGGATGTTTGAGCACTTCCTAAAAGGACTGCTGAACTGTTTAATAGACTTTTGTACTACCACTATAAAAATTTAATCACCTAAATTGGGTGAACTAAATATATACTAACTCACTAGATAAATACTAACTCAACAGTATTTTGCATACTTTGAGTGGGCAGAATGCTCCAAGGTCATCCTACTATCACTGCCTCTAAATTCCCTACGCAGCTAACAGAGAGAAATGTCTCTAAGAGCCTAAAGAGGGAGATCCAGATCTTCCAACATACTGATAAAGTACTTGCTCACAGTAGGCAATCATGTCCCCTCACAGCAGGTCACTGCTTCCTACCCTTAAAAGATAGGAAAACATTAAGAAACATGAGATATCTCCATCCACTTGGGATGCTGCCTATGGGCTACTAATGGACCAGCAGCCCCAGCAATCACTGCTAGATCACAAACTAATGACTACAGTGTATGCCCAGAAAGTGTGAAAATTGGTTTCTAGGCTCTACCCAATCTAGTAAGTAGTGAACCCACATGTCTCACATCCCAAAAAATGCCCTCAATACTCAGGCTAGGCAGAAGTGCAAGAACAAGGCAAACAGATACAAGACCTTATTTTTCATTTAAAATATCATATGACCATATGCCAACAAGGAAGATAAAAGTTTTCTTAACTGTTTCCATGAGAATCATTTCAAGAAATCAGAGCATATAAATATCAGGGCAAAACAAAAAAAGGTTAACTGTACTGATAATTTATTTCAGAAAAATCCTTCCTTCAACCCTATTATACCTCTATTTATAAAGCAGAATGGACTTTAGCTTACTAGACTTTATTTATGCTTTTTGCCTTCCTCTTTTCAGTCAATATAATCTAAATAAATCTCCTTCAAGAGCAGGAAGATTTGAGTTCCTCATGACATTTTGACAGCAGCTTCTACAGATAAGCATTACCCAGAGTGCCTCATCTCTGGCTCAAACTCAGTGATGGCCTCTGATCTCTTACAGTCTGTCCCTTATAGTGCTTAGAAAAGCAGCTTGTCCTTCATTATAGAGCTCTCTGATACTTATCCACAGTCTATAAAGTAAAGGAATTATTAGGAATGGATCAGAATAAAAGAGTAAACATCATCAACCAAACTCCTACTAAAATTCAACTAAATTCAGTGAACCTCCTAAAACTTCAAGCACAGACCACAAAAAAAAAGGATAAATAGCAACCAGCAAACAGTAACAAAGAAAAAATCCCTTTGTTTGGAAAAGGGATACATAACTCTGAGACCTTCAGCTTGGAAGAGAGATAAATGATAGAGGAGTATCAGAAAGACCTCTAAAATTAAAATAATGTAGGG